GTGCAAACAATGTCAATAGCATTGATAAATTCAAATACACATACTTGGTAGGGTTTAGTAGTGTGACTGCTAATATAAGATGTATTTGGTATTTTTTCAAATTTATAAAGCATCTGCCTCTATGAAACCGACTGCCAAGTAGCGGAACATATGCGTTTCGAATCAAACTTTATTAAGAAAGAAATATTCCTATTAAAAAATCGCATGAGCTAAGCTGTGCAGATTTTGAATTTGCATTTGTCTCACGTATAAAACTCACATTTTTTTCTCAAATAACTCTGCTGTAATCTTTCTTCTTCTACTCATGATAATTTGCCTATTACCATTTGAAACTCACCAGCTGTAAGGCACGAGGTCATATTAGGCTGCCATAATTGGCGTCAGCTATTAATTCACATCTACTAGGACTGCTGGAGCAGAACCGATTTGCAATTCTTAAGGTCATGTGCTTAATATGCTCAATGTGGAGATATTATTCACAACCCATAGATAATCACACAAACAATCCTTGAGAATGCGTTTTCATTTCCAACTTTTCTGCAACACTTTTTGTTGCAACGCTACAATTATAAATCAGTCAGTTTCGAATCTCTTCACTCTGATCATTCAAGAGTCTCGTTTCGACTCATATGCTCGCAACTCACTATTTACTTCTTATATTTGCGTTATACTCAGTTCTTTCCCTATTTCCTCATTTTGATTAATGTGAGTAGCCAGTTTTACTGAGTTTTTTATGACTTTGCAATGATCATGGCTTAGAAAGAGTCTTTCATATGGTTTTACTTGAAGAATGTAGCTTTACGACTAACTGACAAGTTGTTAACTATTTCAAAATCTACACCATGGTCTTTTGTAGATATCCCAACCACTACTTCAGGTAGACTGGTTGCCACAACAGCGGACTCGTGTTTGAAGCACAAAATGATATATTCCCACTATTACCTCAACTGTAGAGCTTCCCGACAGACAGATTACCTCTGAATTCATTGGCGATAAAAAGCGCTGTATAGAAAGTAAACCTCAAGAGCATGCCGTGTCAATGTGAATAAGCAATTAATAATTTGTGACCTCCTGTTTGAGTAATAGCTAGAAGTGATGGTAATACCTTGTTGGCAGCCTAACACCAAGCATCATTTGAAATCTGAGACCTGTAACAGTTTTAAATGTCCCACGAATTCATTAAAAATCCCACATATAAAGCCCTACTTATGATTGTCTCATTACGTGTATGCCAACAGCACTGCCACAATGAAATAAGCATATTTGGATTTGTGTAAATACGTGCCTGTCAATTTGATCAATTTCAAAATGCAGTTTTTACGATGAAACTGTGGTCAATAAGAGGTGACAACTCGTCAAACGCATCGCCATTGATGCCAAACGTTGATAAAAGAGTCTCGAATCTCCGTCTCTATCCAAAATGTGTCTTTTTTCAAAATATCGGATCAGCAAAGCCGCCTCAATGATATATGGGAAAGAGATACCTGATGTGAATCGTGATTGCCGTGTTTGAGTGACATTGACACAGAGCTTAGTCACTGTTGAAGTGCATGTGGCTTCTGTTGTTAAGTGGTTGGTCGTAAGATCTCTCCACTCATGAACTCATATGCTCCATCCGCATTAAGAAGCTCGACTCCACCTTTTTTGAATTTCAACCACGTGCATAGTACCATGGGTGGTAGCATATCATTGTGATCAAAGTATGTAGTCGGCCACGCCAAAATGACAAAAATTCAATAGCATATGCAGAATTGTGGTGCCCACTAACGACCATCAATGTGCACAATAGCACTGTTAACTTATAAGGGTGCTTGATTTGAAGAAAATGTGATTTGTCCCCTCACCGTAAACTCTATACAATCCTTTAAAAACTCAGTTCGTCTCCTGCCATGTACCCATTTTCATGACCTATACTTTCAATAATTTTCCTGAAAGATTAATAGTTCGCAGTATGGGATCCAAACAATCAATAAGTATTTATACTTCAATGCAAGTAAAGAGTGTCAATAGTTGGAGAGCAATACCACTAGAAGGACATTTTATTAATATAAATTGCAACTCAGTTTAACAAATTATATTGCATTATCAATAATTGTTACAAATGAGCCAATGGATGCATAATTGTCTGGGTAACAAAGTGATGTTCTGACAGATTCATAGCTAGTGATAGCAGTAAATGGGCAGGTCTGGGTCTAAGATAACCACCTGGTCAATTTGCGACGAATCCATTCCATGGGGTCAAGCTAAAGCACAATGAGGTTGTGGATCGACCAATAACAGAGAAAAGTGATGATATATATGTCTTTATACCAACAAACAATTTGTTGGTGATTGCGAATTTGATACAATAGTCGGAATTCTATGCTGTGGGTTTGTGCAAAATTGATCAATTTATTGATTTATAGACCTTAATCCTACCGCTAACTTTTGTTTTGAAGCCTACGATTTTCTTCCTAGGTGACCACGTTTTTACTCACATATTTATCATTTAAATGGAGAGCGACAATTTTGCTACGGAAGAACTCATTAGTTTAAAATTTTCATTGAAAAGCTTGCTTGATTGCATCTCGAATCCTTAGAGAGACCAAGGCTGATATAATGACATTATCACTTTATCTTCAATACTTAACAAAATGACAATCACATTAAGAGAATCATCTTTGCCTGTTCACCGACAATTACTTTCCTTCTGAGTTTGGAGTCTGTTGAATAGTCTCATGCATGAGACCATGGCAGCTGTGGTAGTTGAGATTGCTCCGAAGCATCCACGATGACCACAAACCGAAGAGGATGCATTGGGATCGACAAACATGATGTGAGCTTGAGTATGCAACTGTGGACACAGCATTGAATCGGCATCCACACAAGTACACTTGACTTTCCTATTGTGGATGCATAAAAAAGCATAAAACATGCCCTCACACTTGAACTTCCTGTCAATGCATGTAGGCAGTACCTGTGCATTGTAATGTTGACAGTCACGTTATTGGCAGTATCGCATCAATGTTGTTAATATGAGCGGTGGAGACTATTTCAATGGTTGGGGCTCTGGCCCCATTTTCATTGATTTGAATTACGCTGGTGCTTTCCCTATTAGTGACCCAGTTTTCATTATTGGAATTATGGTACTTATATTAACTCGTTCGTTACGCCTTGCTGACACAAATGGTCTGTGACCGAACCTTCTCTTCGCCTTCATTTCGACCTTTTTCTTTTTACCTTTAATGTGAGTTCCATCACCTATAATTATGTGAAATTGAACTTATTTGCAATGTCATATATCAACTGATCTGAAACGAAATATTCTTTATTTCTTCTTTTGAGGTAGTTTTTTTATTTTAATACGGCAAAAAAAGTTTATCACTCGGCATTTGATTTGACTTCTATCTATTACGATTAGCTTGAAACGATGCTATAAGAGAAATCGCCCTCGTCAGGGCGAATCACAACATCTACAGATCTTCTAGTGGAACGCTGGAGGGATGTCACAGGACAAAAAGATCCAAGTCCAGAAAATTCTACAAACCTATGATGTAGACATCGTCACAATTATGGAAGCAAACCTTTCGGGATGACAAACTGAAGTACTACCAATTCCCAGCTTACAACCTGTACAATCTACCTAAATACCGGCAAGTTGCAAGTGGAATTCTTAGAAATCTACCTAAATACCGGCAAGTTGCAAGTGGAATTCTAAACTGGAGTAAAAGAAGGCCTCACCTCACACTACGACCTGATCACCGGAGTGAAAGAAGGCCTCACCTCACACTACAACCTAATCACCTACCTAAATACCGGCAAGTTGCAAGTGGAATTCTAACTGTGCCTAAATACCGGCAAGTTGCAAGTGGAATTCTGACTGGAGGAAAAGAAGGCTTCAATTCACATTACGATCTAATCAAGAGTATGAGCTCGACACAAGAGATATGCGAAATAATCAGATTAAATGTTTGGAAATGTCAAAACCACTTCAAGGTATGTGCAATCTATAATCCACCCCAGAAAACTTCAAGATATATGCATTTTATAATCCACCCCAGAATTGTCCCAACTTTGACATTCTCCATAATCCACCAGAGAATTGTCCCTACTTTGACTTTCTGAACAACTCTCACAAAACTGTAGTATTAGGAGACTTCACCACCATCCCACCAGATGGGGCTACAGGGATACAAACATAGCTGGAAAGAAAATCGAAGGCATGCTTAACAGTAGTCCTCTAGAACTTATTTACAGCGATGAGGATCCGGCTACATATTTGCACTACAATGGAACCAGAACAACTCCTGACTTACTCCTGGTTTTAAGCGATAACAGCGAGCATACCCGCCGGAAAATATTTGACTATCCTGGTTCTGGTCACAAACCAGTCATTACTAGTATTACCGTCGGCAGCAAAAGCATAATAACGAAAGTGCCAGCTGAGCAATCATGGAACTTCAAGAAGGCTGACTGGCCTAGATTCGAATGAATGAACTTCACACATGTCCCCTCAACTTTAATCAACCACCTGACAAACTTTGCAATGTTATCACGAATATTATGAACAGATGTGCAAAGAAAACTATTCCCAAAGGCATGACTAAACACTATCGAGTGTTTTGGTCTGAACACCTTGAGGAACTGAAAAGAAAGCGTGACGCCCTTCGCAACACTGCTGATCAGACTGGAAGAACGGAAGACGGACAAGCCTGAAGACGGCAGTCAGCTGTCCTAAGACAAGACATCTTAAAAGCTAAACGGACTTCCTTCGACAACTTCATCTCAAATATCAACTATCAAAGTGATTGCCAACGCACTTTCAAATTCCTGGGTAACCTCCAAAACAACAGGGAAAGACCCAAGAAAGAACCAATACCTTTAAAAAACAAACTATTTACCACCGACTCCGAAATAGCTAACTTCTTTGCGAGGTTCTATTTCCACAAGCAGAAGAAAAACCCTTTTGTCATGAAATCTTCAAGAGATTTAAAGATACACGTAAGACATTTTGGTGAAATGAAGGAACTTATATACAGCAATGAGAATCCGGCTACATATTTGCACTACAATGGAACCAGAACAACTCCTGACTTGCTCCTGGCTTCAAGCGACATCAGCGAGCATACACGGCGCAAAATATTTAACGATCCTTGTTCTGGTCACAAACCAGTCATTGTTAGTATTACCATCGGCAGCAAAAGCATGACGAGGAAAGTGTCAACTTAGATATTGTGGGACTTCAAGAAGGCTGACTGGCCTAGATTCCAAAACCTTTTAGAGAATGAACTTCACACAAGTCCTCTCAACTTCAACCAACATCCTGACAAACTTTGCAATGGTATCAGGAATATTATGATCAAATGTGCAAAGGAAACTATTCCCCAAGGCAAGACTAAACTCTATCGAGTGTTTTGGTCTGAACACCTTGAGGAAGTGAAAAGAAAGCGGAACGTCCTTCGCAACACTGCTGATCAGACTGGAAGAACGGAAGACGTACAAGCCTGGAGACGGCAGTCAGCTGTCCTAAGACAAGNTGCACTTAAACTACTAGCAAACTGGCGCGAAAACAATGGAACGGTAATCAACACCTCCAAAATTGCTTTCTAAATATTTTCTTTGGCCCGTCACAGCATGAACCCGCTTCTAAAGTACAAGGATACTACCCTAGATAGAACCAACGAGTTCACCTATCTCGGAATGACGTTTGACACAAAGCTAACATGGAAAAGTCACATTGCTAAAATAGCAGAACGAATCTCCAATANAATTTACTGAAGCATCTTGCTGGCAGCGTATGGGGCTGTGTACGCTCAACTCTTGACACCACTTACAAGATGTTTATTCAGCCAATAATGTTGTACTGCTGTGAGCCACTCATTACAGCCACAGAAGTGACTCTCAAATCACTCGAGAACGCACAAAACCAAGCATTACGACTAGTTACTGGAGGGATAACATCAACACCCATTGATGCAATGCCATGTTCAGGGATAAAATCAACACCTATTGATGCAATGCTCCTAGTTACAGGAAGTGCCAACACCCATTGATGCAATGCTCCAAGTTACAGGAAACACATCACACCCATTGATGCAATGCTCCAAGTTGCAGGAAACACCACAATAAGATTGATGCAATGCGCCTGGTTACAGGAAGCACCACAATATGTTCTTGCCATGCTCCTAGTTACAGGAAGCACTACAATATGTTCCCTATCAAAGAAAAGGCCTTGATCCTGTATGAGAAGCCACTGTACATTCCCATGGATAAGTTCTTCAGCACCCATGAGTACCAAGACATCTGAAAACGTAATCTGGTCTAATACAGAAATCCATGGAACTTAAGAAAGCATTACAAATCTATGGCAAACCAAAAAGCCTCTCTCTACCCATGAATCCATTAGGAGACACTGATATATTGTGTTGCACCTAACGGCTTGACTATTTCAGGAAATCAAGCACACCTCCTGAAAAAATGCGCTCACTGTCCCTTGAGACAATCAGTGTCAACTATCCTGCAGATCAATGACTCCAATTCTTTACTGGTGGGTCATACATATAAAACCAGCAAATGATTGTGCAGGTGTCTATTCGGGACTCTTCTCACTCTGCGCAGAAGCCGGACACAATAGATCCGCTATTGAAGGAGAAATAGAGGCCATTGGGATAGAACTATGCCAATTATGTTGCCTGGATGCGAAATTCACCAAAGCGGTGATACTTTTGGACTCACAGTTAGCAATAAACGCAATTGGAAACAGGGAACCGCCCAAACCTGCTGAGATAAAGGAATGTAGAAAACTCTATCAGGTGCTGAGAGAGAAAAACTAAACAGGGGTCCTATAATGGATTCCTGGTCACTGTGGCATTAATGGCAATGATCTTGCTGGCACACTTGCTAAGAAGGGGACAACGATTTTCAATGCATGGACCGCCCGATGTCTTTCCATACAATGAAGGCCTTAATCAGGAGAGAATTCAAGACCTCAAGGTGCACACTCCGACATAGCCCACTGGCCAAGAATCGAAGCCGTTGTTGAGTTTAGACTACGTACTGGACACGATTGCCTGGCAAAACACCTTCCCAGCCCTAAAGACAAGGTCGGAAAGCCAGAGATACTGGGAAGCAAGAAGACAGCTAATGAACTGCTATTATTTAACTGTTATATATGCCCCCCCCCTTGGGGGAAGCTGAAATCAAAGTTTAAGAGCTAATGATAAATACCATGAAGCCTGATGTTTGATATATATATATATATATATATATATATATATATATATAGATTTGAAAGAACTCACTTGATGACCACATTGATAGTTGGTTAATTGGCAACTTGGTTGGTGTTTCTATCACGGTGAATATAAAATTTTTGCTGTAATATATAATCCACTTACCCAAATAATTAGTCTTCAGTTTTGATTTTGCATGTCTTATACTTGTCATTGTCTCTTATGGTTCAAAGCTCTTGCTCTATTCTAAAGAAATCTCATTAAAATTGAATGGATCAATTTTCCATACACTGAACGGTGATTTCAATATTGGTAAGCAGCCTTCACAATGGAAGGAATTTCTAAATGGCGTACAATTTGTGGGTAAAAACGGACATACTGATGTGTTTACCTTAAATAATGAAATGGTATTGGGTTAAACAAAGCCGCTTTTTAATCAAATTTTCCTTCATCATTAAAGATGAAAGTTTATTTATTTATATCAAATGACAGGCTTTATGATGGTTATCATTACCCCTTTAGTTGATTTCAGGCTTCACAGAGGGAGAGGAACATCAAATCGAAAAGTCAAGAGGGGGGAACAGAAGAGTGTTAAAAAATGTAAAAGAGACGGACACAAAAGTAGAAGAAAGGTGAGGTGAGTAGTGTTAAGTGGTCGAATATGGCATACAGTGGGGTCATGATAGCTTGAACTCAGAAGTCAACTGCCGGTTTATAGACTTTTTTGCCGCATGAACTCAGAAGTCAACTGCCGGTTTATAGACTTTTTTGCCGCATGAGTATATGTTGCCCAGGGTGGACGACGTGGAGCTAAGTCTATCGTTCACCCCAAAGGTGAAAGTAAGAGCTGAAACATTGACAAAGACTTTGCAGTATTTACCACATCCGACTGAGTCTGTGATCGTCATAATTACAATAATTTGATGGATGTTGTTTTATTACATAACGAAATGATGGTAGTTGTGTGTAAGTAAGCATGTGATATTGACCTTAGTTAGCTTCAAAGGTACAATTTTAGCACTCACTTAGAAGTCTTAAATCGTGGAGAGATGGGCAGTGTCGATTTGAACCTTAAGGGCAGTAACGAGTTAGATAAATTGGGATTAGCCGTTTTTCAAATAAAGGACTGAAACGACAAAATTCTATACACGAGCAGTTAACTTCTGACTTCTATTTGGGGTGTGAGATAGACTTACCTCCACGTGGTGCACCCTGGGCAACGTATACTCATACGGCAAAAAAGTCTATCATTCAGCAGTTGAATTCCGACTTCAAAACACCATCACCTCACCGTATGTCATATTCGGCTACTTCCACAGTACTCACCTCACCTTTTTTCTACCTTAGTGTCTGTCTCTTTTACATCTTTGAAATACTCTTCTGTTCCCCTCCCCCTACCCCTCTCGACTTTTTTTCACTTTGATGTTCCTTCTTCTCTGTGAAGCCTGAAGTCAACTTATGGGCTCATGATAGCTATCAAAATGCCTGCCGTTTGATGTAAATACTTCTGACTTCAAACTACCATGATCCGATCCTGTGTCTGTTTCTCTTACAACTTTGAATCGCTCTTCTGTTTCCTATTTCGAATTTACTTCACTTTGTTGCTATTTTCAACCCTGAAACGCGGAGTCAGCTAAACACATAATGTTCCATATCAAAAAGCCTTCTGTTTGATCATGAAAAAACACATTTATAAATGGATTTGGGTGCTTTCACAATCGAGTCAATCAATGTAAATCAATGTGATGTAGGATTTAAGAGATTGATGAGGAAGTGATTGCTAAAAGGAAAAGCTTTTGCTTAAACTGGAAATCCACCTAAACAACAGGATCACAGAAAAGCTATCCATGCAACGTACACTCTACCCTACCCCCAGGCTGTATTCAATTCCTTTAGGATGATTTGAATTATGACATCTTCGTGGGTGCTTATTATCCCCACTCTTGACTTATCTTGAAAGAATCTCGAGACAAATGTTATTTCTAAATACCTAAAATAAGCATTGACGTGAAGACAACCCATGTGACAAGCCGCATATCATCGTCATGCTCACCATTTTCAAATTTTATTAACTCCAATCCACTTGGGAGGGTGTGATTAATGAAGCCCAAGTTGGGAAATTCAGCAGACTCGCCACTCAGAAAGCAAGCAAATTTGCCGAGAAGCGGGCGAGGATAATTCCTGTGGTGAGACTGTCATTGTGTAAAGTGCAGAAAGATAGTCATTATGATCTATTACAAAATGATTTGACTGAAGCTCAAGTTATTTCATTGTATGCGATGGACAAATATGGTTCATTGGACGATATGAGGAGGTTAATTGTGCTCTTTGATTCTTCTCATTTTGGGTTAAAACCACTCCGAAATAGATCAAGAAGAATAAAATGTGAGCATATCATTATAACAACCTCAGTTCTATAAAACCACAAGAAGCAATTGAGCAAACTTTTCACTGAACATTTTTAACTAACAAGTTCGCGTTTCTACTTTTAATTCCTCAGTAACAAATATTTTCGCTATCCATTTAAATTATTAATTGTTTATTTCAAACGCCAGGCGTTTCGATAGTTGTCATTAGTCCTTAAGCTGACTTAGAGTTTCACGGAGAGGTGGAGGAACAATAAAGTCCCAAAAAGACGAGAAGGAGGTTGAAAAATTGATTCACAGACGCAAAAAAGCAGACAGGCGCAAAAGCAAAGATAAAGTAAGATGAGTAATGTGGAAGGGGTGAAATATGAAATGCAATGGGGTAATGGTAGTTTGAAGTCAGAATTCAATTGCCAATAAATGGACTTTTTTGCCTCATGAGTATTCGTTGCCCAGAGTGCACCACGTGGAGGTTAATCTATCGCACATCCCAAATGATAAATATGTGTGTGAATATAGTGATGGAGTTAAACGTGATCACCAAGGAAGAAAATAGTAGGCTTCACACCAATAGTTCAATATGTTCAAAGCCTAGGAATCAATAAATGGATCAGTTTGGCGCAAAACCACAGCATAGAATTCCGACTATTGAAAATGGGAGCATTACAGGAGACAAACGGGCTTTTAAAGATTGTAAAGAGTTTACCGTGAGGGGTAATTCACATGTTCTAAAAATCAAACACACTTTTTTGGGAAATATTTGTGCCGCCGCATTTTCAAGAGCAGTTTACATCGTTGATGCGATCACTAAGGTTGAAGTTGTGAAATATGACGCGTCGATTTTTCTTACCTTTTACTTTATTCAAAAACATTTGGGGATTTGGTGCTGTAAGACCCTTATCAACTTTGCATTTAGGAAGTCGTGTACCTCTGAGAAAGAATTTACCTCCTTCCTGTCACTCATGCGACGCAGATGACAGCTTGTCACTCTACACTATTTTCGTTCGAATTTGGATGATGCACTACTAATACATGGACTTGGGTTGACATAAAGAAAGTGAGAAGTGTGTCAGTCGGGATCGTCCAAACTCTACTCCCTAAATAGTGAGGAACAGAGCCGTTGAGAGCCCTCAAATATGGAGTGTGGGCATCGATAGGCCTTTACTCAAACTTACAAAATATAAAAGTCAAGAATGCGGAATGATGGTTTAGCAGTCAACAGATGATTTTATTACATTTTAAGTGCAATAAACGAGAAGCTACTTAGGATGAGGGACAATTGTTTAGTTTGAAAATCAGAAGGGCTAAAATGTCGAATTTTAGAAGGTAAGAAGTAGATGTGGGCAAATGATGTCCTGCGATTAAGGCATATCCAAAAGAGGGGAGACAGATTTGTCAGCTGCTTCAATTTATTTCTATTAATGACCTGCAAGTAGAATAAAATTCATTCAGAAAGTTGTAAATTATGCTAGTAAAGTAGTGACAGAGAGTCGAAATTGTATCTGCATCTGTGCGGACGAAAACCAGAACCTTTGTTGAAAATGGATATATTGTTGAGTAAATGCTGAAACTGGTGTTTACAAAGTAGCACGTGTGGCATCTCAATATGTTCAATTGACCACAAATTTCATTACCTCAAGAGAATCCCCTTCTCGCCCTCCCATTCGCTCCATTCAACTATGTCTCTCCCCACATCTTACGTTCACCTAATTTCCCAAAGTGGAATGGTTAAACTTCGAATATAACAAATCTGTAATAATTTGGTGAAGGGATGGTTACAATTAGTTGAAATTTATCTTCCTGACAGTGTGTAACTAGATGTTGGAATCGGTTAATTCAAATATAATTCACTGTTTAAGCCCTCATTCATGTTCCCCAATTGAAAGCCCGCAATTGTTCTACCAAATTTGGGGATGAATTCCCCCACTTACGATACTTGATTTGGTGAACAGAGTAGACTTCAAATGTCAGTTCACATTAAGGCATCGTTCAATGATGATCAAGCTCCACTGTGTCTAACGCCAAATTTGAAGCTGTGACAACATTCTCAACAATCGATCTCTCCCCATTTAGCCAATTTAATTATGTTGTTGCATTAACGCAATATATTGCAATGATTTTCGCCTCAAATGTATTCTTGATCAATCACAAATTTAATGTTGTGACAGCGATTTCACCAATAGGTTTCTCGATAACTTACTAATGTTGTCGACATTAAGGATATCTTTTCAAATGCGTGCGTAAAATTGACATGCGAAACCAATTCTTGTGACAGTCTAAAATTCCATAGTTTGCACCACAAAGTAGTGCGGAACGATGTACATGTGGGAATTGAATTAGTGGGTTTGAATGCGAGAAATTGAATCGACACTGCAAATGAACTAATACTTCGAAATGATTCCACCCTGATTTACAATCACATATGTTACACACATAAATTTGTCTTACTGTTTTGTCACAGTCAGTTACTATAGCGTTAGTTGAAAAGTGACGGATTTACAAGAGGAGTCCACGAAATTAAGTCAAACCATCTGAAACAGGCCTTTAAGGGAACTGCACAAAATTTTCAACTTATTTTTATGTAACCAACGTAGTAACGCAGGATAGCTAAAAAATACTGGTCGCCATAATATTAAAAATTTTAATCCACACATCGCTTGAATTTGTCTATGAAAAGGAACAATTGCGCCTATTAATAGTGAAAAGAGTGTCAATTTGTGCCCTCGTGTGATATAGAGGGAGCTTAGAAAAAGAAAAACCGCTCTTCGAAGGGGTAAGTAATATTGCACATGAGAACAAATTGGGCAATAAATACTGAACGGTGAATAATGAGGCATGGAGAAATGTCATGAGACACAGGAACTTGTAACCAAAAGGTGGAGATTATCTTAATATTTGGCTCTAAAGAACTTTTGATTTGGTCCCTCTCTAAATTGCCTTCATTTACCTCATTCTCCATCTCCCCCACACTTGTTCTGCCTCTGCACATGTCAAAGATGCCATTCAAGAATGCCCCTTGATTCAACACAGAACACGCATTTATGAGTTAGTCTTATCATGTTGCATCGCGTTCTACGCATAGCAGTAGTCTAAAATTCACTAGAAAAGAATATTTTTAACAGATACTTTGCTCCATACATCCTGCTCAATGCATTAAATTTCTTTTAAATTATGTTCTCAGGATTAAATTTATGAACATACGTAGGTGGGCCTTTTGAATACCAATCAAATTTGATTTTTCTCCTAAAATGTTGCTCCATTGACCATAGCTGCTTGTATGAAAGGCGGCTACTTGTGCTACAAAAGTTTCATTCTCAAATGGTAGGTCATATTCACCCGCACTTGACATGCGGTCTTTCCATTTCGAGTTACCGTCTTTGTAAGAAACGAGATATCCAAGCACAGTTACTCCAGTAGCGGTTACTTCGTCCCATGAAATGCGTGCCAGATTGTCTCCAACTTGCTGCAATTCGACATTTTGTGGAGGCGGAGCTTTTGCTATATGTTAAAACAAAGTGCCAACGAATTTTCAGAATTGTCTTAAGTTATTTCATACAATGGCAATCATTTCATATCTAATAATTTTTGTCTACAAGTGTCCAGGGATTCTAATATTTGTGCATGACTAAAATGAGAAATCGTTGAGTTGAGGCCGAAATTCCACTTCTTGCATTGATTAGCAATGCTTTAGTTAATTCTTCAACAGTTGAGCAATTGAGTTCGTGACTCTTTGTTTCACCAACACGCTCAGAGAAATGTTATTTGCATTAGTTGAAAATCATCTTCCAGAAATAGTGGTACTAGATTTTTGAATAGGGTTGTTGAGATGTAATCAACGATTTCTACCCTCGAAGGTGTTCCATAAATCAAAGCTCGAAATTGCTCTACCGAATTAGTGCATGAATCCACTTACATGCTATCCAGTGTTTATTACTTGATGGTGAGTTGAAGGTGGTTGACCTGGCCAGTGAAGGGGATGATCAGACATATTTGAAAAAACTCTAATTCCTAAACCTCTGCCCACCTTAGAAATGCAAATATTTGCAGTGTGTATAAGATGAATGCCCATATCACAATAGGCACATTGTAAAATAATGTTCTCAGATTCCTGTCAGCTTTGTTTTTACGACAATTCGACAGATACTACATAAACTACTGCATTCGCCTTACTTCTTGCAAAAAAGTCATTTTCTCCATTTAATTTTGCTGTCTGTGCTAATTTAATTCAGCGAAATTATTTTCGCCTCAAGTCTCATTGTGTGATTGATCCCAAATTTGATGCTGTGAAAACGATTTCACTAATGGGTCTCCCGATAACTAACCAATGTCGTCGACATTATGGATATCTTTTCAAATGTGTGCATAAAATTTACATGAGATTTCAATTATCGTGACAGTCTAAAATTCCACAGTTTGTACTACAAAGTAATGTAGAACGATGTGGATGTATGAATTAAATGGGTGGCCTCAAATGCGTGAAATCGAATAAACTCTGCGAAGGAACTGATACTTCGAAATGATTAAAACCATCACATGTGAAACATACACAAATTTGTTTCAATGTTTAGCCACAATCTTTTCCCATAGCATTTGGCGAAATGCGACTGATCTGTTAGAGGTAAATTGTTAAGAGGAGTTCAAATCTAAATCTAGGTCATGCTTCATTAAATGTTGACTTGGAGAGAATTGTAAATTTGCTTTAGTCTCTCTTCCCAACACTTCGAGTCATGACCTCTACAGCAGGTATTCAAAGGAAAATCACACAATTTTCAGCTTGGTTTTGTGGAACCAATGTAGCCATGGTGGAGTGGTAAGAACTTGCTTGCCGCCAGAATTTCAAAAGCATAATTCACACATTACGTGAACTTGTCTTTGCCAATAAGAAGTGAAAAGTGAATCAATTTGTGTACTATTGTGACCTAGAGGCATACTACCTCGGACCAACTTCTAGCTGTGTCCATGTGGTGTCTTAAGATGGAGTCTTCCTTAATATTTTGCTCCAAAGGACTCTTGATTTGGCCTTTCTACTAATACCCTCTAAATACCCCCCCCCCCCACCATTCTGCTTGTCTTTACCAATCATTCAGTGAAGTTGCTGATGTTCAATTCAAGAAATCAAGCCCCCTCGATCCATAACACCTAATTTCAAGTGGATAACCTTTTGAGACTGCGAAACACTGGATTTAACTTTATAAACGAAAAATATAGCTATGACAAATGCATCAATCCATACATTCTGCTCATTGCAATGATGCTTCTCAATATTTTACGTAAGAACTTACTTTGATTGGACCTTTGAATACTAATTGGATTTGATTTTTTTTCCTACAATTTCGTTTCCGCTACCATTGAACCACTTGTGAATGGCGGCTACTTGTGCCACTAACATTTCATCCCCAAGTAATAGGTCAAATTCACGCACTGTTGCTCTATGCTTGTTCCATTTCTTGTTGCCTTCTTTGTATAAAACCATATATGCAATCACTTGTTCTCCTGGAGAGGTCACTTCATCCCATGAAAGGAGTGCCAGATTGTCTCCAACTTGCTGCAATTTGACATTTTGTGGAGGCGGAGCTTTTGCTATATGGAGAGAGAAGAAAATGAATGCATGTTCGTATATTTTTCCCTCGTTATTTCATACAACGTCACTAGTTTCATATTCAAACATTTATCACCTCCTTTAGTCCCTTTGTTGACACAAATAAGAGGTTTCGTTAATACGTCGAAAGATGGAAGCTCTTTTAACATCTTGATTTGGGCTCTCTCCTACTTTCCTCTTATCTCACCCCCCCCTCCCTCCAAGCTCTCACAACTTTTCTGCCTGTGCATTTTCTAATGATACAATTCAAGAAAGCCAGGTGACTCATTCCTAACCACTTGATGTCGTATTTGTTGACAACACCAAAACATTCGGAGAAATTACATACTGCAAAGTATTTATGGTGGAAATGAATTATCAATAAAGGTACATATACTTGTAAAAGTGTTTAATGCTTGTTTCAAACTCGAGTTTTGCTGAAATTGGTCGGATCGACATTGAAGGTCCCAGCAACATTTACTGCACTTGATGGAGGGAGTCTACTTGAAGCAATGCCAAGGTTGTCTTCAAATTGCCATGGAGTGAAATCAAAAGAGTTTATAATTTGTCAGCAAATCGTAAAGTTCTGCTCTTTGAACCAAATTGGATCAATGACTCCTTTATTTCAGTGGCCAATACAACGTCACCTTATATTTAGTAGCGCAGCAGGTAAATTATAATAGAAAATAAGTTCTCAATAGATGCATTACTCCTCACTTTTGCTAATATGGCGAAGCAGTTTCGTGGAAATCTTGATAATTGCTCTTACCTCCCTCCCTTTTGCACCTTTTCTGCCTGTGATTATTTCAAATATAAGAAAACTAGGTGAGTCAATCTAGAGCGCTTCAACTTGAAGGTGGATAAACATCAAATTTGTAAATTATACTAGTAAAGAGTAATTTTCATGGATGTATCACTCTACACGTTACTCATTGAAATAGATACATTTTGGTAATGATTTCTAAAATTGACCTTTACAACTTACTTCGGTTTGACTTTTCAATAGCAAGTAGTTCTGATCTATCTCCACTATAAACGGTAGTCTTATCGATATGAGGCGCATACATAGTGGCGATTGTTCCTTTTAATATGGTTTTAGTAAATGGAAGGAAGAAGTAAGGCTTCCGTATTGCAAAGCATTTCCAACTTAATAGGTCTTCTTGGAAGTAAACCAGATATCCAATCACCTCAGCGCTAGGAGAGGTTACTTCCTTCCATGTAAGATTGGCTCTATTTTTTCCAACTCGGCGAATTTTAAAATTTCGTGGACGATAATTTGTAGCTTTATGTGGAGGTGGAATTGACTCTATATGAAAAGGGAAGACACAAATTCAATATCACAATTTCACCCAGATATTTCACGCAATGGCAATATTCTCTTACTTAACAGTATATCAATTCAATTTACTAGACATTCTAATATTAGTGCACATCTAAAATGAGTGTGTGTCAGAAGATATGGAGGCATCCATATTCTTTTAGGTGTTCGTTATTGAGATTATTGCACACTATCCGCTTGTATATACTTGTCACTCGTTAAAAATCGTTTAGTTCTGGCTGAAACCTCACTTTGTGCATTGATTGGCAATGAAATTAGTTTTTTTTTCAAAAATTGTGCCCTTGATTTCGTATTTCTTGACCATTCCAAAACAATCAGAGTGATAACATAATGCAAAATGTTCATGAAGGAAATGAACTAGCAAAAATGATACATCTGCTTGTTAGAAGACATTTCAGTTGAAAAAAAAATTATGTAAATATGTCATTTCGAGTGGCTTAACTTTGAAGGCGGATAAACATTAAATTTGTAATTCACACTTAAAAAAGAGCATCTTTAATGGATTCATTACTTTACACTCTGCTCGTAGCAATAGATACATTGTTTGGTAATGGTTTCCGAATTTGAGCTTAAGAACTTACTTTGGTGGATCTTGTGAATTGCAATTGGTTCTGATCTATCTCCTTCAAAAATGGTGATGTTAGTAATATTTCGTCTACAAATAGCGGAGATTGACCCTTTTAATACATTTCCCTTAAATGGTAGGAAAAACTTAGGCTTCCTTATTGCAAAGCGTGTCCAATTTTTTTGGGCTTGGAAGTAAACCAGATATCCAATCACATCAACGCTAGGAGAGGTTACCTCATCCCATTTAAGATTGGCTCCAATGTTCCCAACTTGGCGAAGATGAACATTCTTTGGAGGCGGAATAGACTCTATATGAAGGAAAACATACAATTGCACTTTCACAATTTTCTCTAGTTATTTCATATAATTGGTCGTATTTCTCACCAAGTCCAACACAATTAGAGAGAAAACAAACTACGAAGAAGACAGCTAATGAACTGCTATTAATTAACTGCATTAAATGTACCCCCCTACCCTCGGGGGAAGCTGAAGTCAATTTTTCAGAGCTAATGATAAATATCATAAAGCCTGCCATTTGAAATAATGATAATAATATTTTCAATAATTGTGCAATTAGTGTCGTATTTGTCACTAGGTCCAACACAATTAGAGAAAACCCACCACAAACTGTTTATGCTGGTAATGAATTAGCAATAATAATACTTATTCTTATTAGAAGACATTGCAGTTGAGATGATAATTTAACTGTTTCATTGCATGCCTCAAACTCGAGTTGTGCTAAAATTCTCAGGGCCATCAATGAGGGTTCTGGCAACATCTACCACTATTGGTGGCAACAGTCCACTTGAATCAATGATAAGGATGTCTTCAAACTGCTATGGAGTGCAATCAAAAAATAGTTTATAGTTTGCCAGTAAATCGTAATGTTCTGCTCTTTGAACTAAACTGCATCAATGACTCCTTTCCTTCAGTGGTCGCTACAACGTCACCTTATACTAAGTAACACGGACCGCCAATATTAAATTAATGAACAAAATGGGAAAAATGTATTTATGAAATAAATAAAACATTTATGAACAACTTGGATACTTACGTAGTTGAGATTGTACAGTGGCAATTAGAAGTGTTATAGAAATGCATAAATAATGTGTAGATTGTGCATACTCGATGTACCACCATTCCACTTTAGGAAATTAGGTGTACGTAAGTTGTGAGGGTAAGACAGTGATGATAAGGGAGAAATTGAGGGAGGAATTTTCCTGAGGTAATGCAATTCTTGGACTAGGGAAGTTTGTATAATTGTGCCTTCGTCGCTTGAATTAAGTGAATGAATGAAGTATTGGTAAAAGAGGAGATTTGCTGTTCAATCAGTAGTTCGTTTAAGAAGTCATGTGAAGTATAGTAATCGATGGAAGGGCAGGAACTGTTCCAACTGATTGTGCGATTTACGGTTGAAATTCCACACCACTCACTTAATCCAGTGTTCGAGGATTGATGAGTAGGCTCAGAGACGACAGTGCCGTTAAATGTCTCATTTCACATTCGCAAGTCTCTCACTAATGCACCTCTGTGTCATTAATTCAATTGTTGTGTGGACCAAATGCCATTAAGACGTCGACTTGGCTCCTTGCCTTATCTATATCGAGTCCAGCACTTGACTCTTTCATCTTACTGGGGTTGCCACATTTTGGAGGGTTAGACCTCAATCCACACATTGAGGTTCACTATGGTTACTATAATTAAGCATATTAAGTGAAGTTGTTTTCCATTGAGAAGACTTCAAAATTTTATATTCGAGGCGTTTGTGAAGTAGGCTCTCGAGCTATCAGGGGATGTGGCTCCCTTAGCATCATGAAGTAGGCCTCAGCTGTAGGCCTCTCCGAGAGAGCACGTGGCCTCTTTCATTAACGATTGCTGCAATTGTAGAATAATGGTTGGAAAATTTGTAATTTTTAAATTATGGCATTAGACCTGGTCAAATTTACTGTCTGTATTTCCATTCCTGAAGGAGGAGTGGAAATACTTCTCCCCAATGATTTGTGAAGGGATTCTTTGACACATATGCTGACGATTGGTCACAATGAAGCATGTATTCTGTTCTGAACCTCCATAGAACAGCTCATTGTCTCTTTTTGACAGAGGTCCTTCAAGAAAGCTGTGGAAATGCTCATGAGTCATTAACCTTCCAGCCTATTTGAGCAAGTACGCACAAACCATGGCCCATTCAGATTGCTTTTCCCACCTCACACGTGCTTTACTAGGTCTCACAAAAAACACAAGTGCTGCATTTTGCATGAGTTTGGGCGTCGGACAATAATGTCAAGAAGCGAAATGCCATTTCATGTGTCAATTCAATTCATGAGAGAGGATGTAAAGTAAGATTGCAGGAAATCAAAATTGATGCCTTTGAACTCGGCAATAGGCCAGAGATCTGTGGAATATTGAGAACATGTACATGACTTATTATCTATACTGAAATCGATTGGCTTTTCGGAATTCTCTTATCTCTTCGACTAGGCTATCACCATAATCAATGGGTGAGTTCCCATAAATTACTGTCGCATTATTTTTGTGAATAATATTGACTATCTCGATGGTACTGGATAAATCAGTTTGATGAAGGAAAAAGGAGAAATCAGTGCTATTCAGAAAAGATCAAACAAGCCCAGAGAAAAGAAATTTACAAATGATACCATCGAATTATATTTAACCAATCAAATTTGAAGATAAAATGGAACAGCGGATGGAGACAGATTAGAAGAATGGAATTGAACAAAGGTACTTTCACCTCATGCATCTACTGCATGTTAAAGATTTCGGCAATTTGGTGTCCTTTAGAAATACTGCGGCAATAGAGGCTGATTAAAGAAGAAAGAGTATTTGAAAATGCTAAAAAGGTGTGTGTGTTTTATTTAAACAAAAATCCTAGAAAGACATTACTTCCTTTTGCTACTACTCACCGCAACAAGACGCAAGTCCAGCCGCAAGGAACACTTCTTTAATTACTTTGCTGACATCGATGAAATAAAGTATTAGAGAGCAGATGATTGAAGATGGAACCTTGATTAAAAGAATCAAAAAATAGAATGGTGACTTTATTTATTAAGTTCATATTAGAGGATCGAACTCACCGAGGCTGCAAATATCATGCCAAATATGGAAGCAACATTTTTGGCTCCAAAAGAGGCGGCGGCGCCGAAGCTAATTAAAACAGACACTCCCGCCAGGCAGTGAAAGAGTAGCATTGTCCAAATTGCAAAGCAGGCACGATTGACATCAGGTAGCCAGACAATATAAGGAAAGGTAATCAGTATTGTGCCGTAGACGATGCAATTTATAATCAGTGGAATCTACAATGAATGCTGAAGCTTCAACAAAGAATACTGATAATAAAGTACAGTAGCAGCTATTTCTTCGTTAATAAGATATAATTTAACTAGTCATTGAAATCATGTCTACTCTATTAAGTCGAACGAAAATAGTTTGGAGCGTCAAGCTGTCATCTGCGTGGCACTAGTGACGGGAAGGAGACAAATTCTTTCTCAGAGGTACGCTGATTTCCAAATAAAAAGGTTATCAGGGTCTTGCAGCATTAAATTTCCGAATGTTTGTGAATAAAGTAAAATGACAAAGATAGTCCATACGTCACATTTCATAACTTCAACCTCAGTGATTACATCAACTGTGTATATTGCTCTTGAAAAGGCGCCAAAATGTGAAGTGAGTCCAATGCACTTCATCACTTCACTCTGCCTTTAAATTATTAACTCTCGGCTGTATTTGCGTTTCCACCTGCCCAAGCATTAAAGCGTTTATAATCATAAATTTGCATTAATAAAATACCCATTTTATAGCAATGTACTTTGAATGACAACCAGTCAGACACCAACCCCCAGAAGAACCGACTAATAATATTCAGCACCTCGGCCAAGGTACACGCGATCATAAGAAATCGATCATCTCGAATGGCTGTCTGGGCAACGGTCTGAAATAAGAGAACATTGCTGAAAGATAATAAAAGGAAGCAATACTTTACAAAAAGTATTTCTAAATTATACTGGAACCAACCTTAACATTCGCCATGAGGACACTAACAGAAAAGTAGGATGAAAATACAATCGCACTGAATAGGTAGAAATTTGGTACACGGAGAGCTTCACCAAGCGTTAGACCTTCAATTTCCTTTCTAATAAAAGTTAATTGCAATTTAAATGTTGATAAGAAAACCTACAAGTCATTGTAGCCTGGATTATCCTCGAGCACATCATCCACCTGCCCAAATTAAGGCATTAGAAATTATTCATAAAAGCGCAGTATAAGAGAGAAATAAAAGAACTATATATATATTTCTTATTTAGTTACTAAATTGGTGGCAATTAATGTTATACCAATGAAAATCGATTGGTTAAAACCCAAGTCTGCAAATAAGAAGCCTCTTTGGATTCAACTATTACGGCAGATAGAGCAAATGCCCAAATCAAATTTCCTTAAAGCTAACTTCCATATACGATTTTGCATCTACATTTCCCGACCAATACACAAACCTTTGTGTGTGGACGCATCAGCAAGTAGAAGTAGTGGACAGTATTCTCGGTTCGTCATTTGCTAATGACTTGTTTCGTTAGGTAATATCAAACTAGAGCTTAAATATACCATCATATATATATGGGAACTTTTCTATACGTGTCAAGGGTGGGACGAACAGGAAGTCTAAAGCCCAGCTCCTCACCTTCTAAATCTTCTTGCTATACTTTGGGCAGACTAGGGGTGTTTAATTACTGACACATTCCGCTGTTAATTTCTCAAGACCGTGGCCATTCCAGCTAGCAAAAAAGTTCTAAACCCGAGTTTCAAAATAATTTGTTTATTCTGCAAGTCAATAAGCTCCTAGCTACCGAAAATCTCGAAATACTACAAGTCAACAATCTCGTCAGGCACTTTGGAAGGACCCACCAGAAAGTGAGTAAGCCAATTAACATCTAACACATAAGATCCACTCGCAAACAGTCATCCCACTTTCGTTGGAAGGAGTGACCATTTTGTCGGAATGGTCGTTTCCTCGCACTCTTGCACGATTAATACTTCTTGGTCCGTCTTTTCTGACCTTCTCAACATGTATTGGCCTTTAAGCCACTTCAATCCGCCTTATGGGTATGATTTAACGAAATAAATCCCCATTTAGACAATACCTCCGAAGTCGAGAAGATATTCACACAACACTCTTAACTAACGTTAAATGTACCCTAGTCTTCATATTTTCTCTTCGTGATACTTCACTATTTAGCACGATTAGACTTTCTTTCAGGCGCCAACTTATTCGCATTTTCTGCCCAAGATTTGACTGAACCTCTCAATAAAGAAACCCTTTTCCATTGCCTCCCTAACATGTCTTCATATTCTTGCAAAAGCAAAGATTTGTCAGTCCATTTCCTCCTTGCAATAGAGCTTTCTAATCTCTAAATCTGGACTGTATAAATAATGCATCACAAGTTTATTCCTCTTACCTATCCTATAGTAACTCAACCCCCTCCTGCAAAGTAATTCTCATGCGGTTTGCTTCACACAAACCTTCTCGTTGCCTTCTCATAGGCGCGGAAACGTTTCTCGTTTCTCATTGCACTGCACTTTACCGATACATATGTACCCAACTCCATTCCTAATCTCCATTTTTCGAGAAAGACTTACATGACCTGCTATTCTTAAAAAGACACCTCCTTCTACTGAGCACTATCGAGCCATAATTCTGTCGAGCTACTCAATTAACCTTAGTGTCTGGAGTAGAGCTACCTTAGGATCCTCTTTTCATCAGTGTCTCGTGTTGACAAATCAGAGGCGTACTTTAAAAACTCACATTATTTTTCGCCTCATTTGAACTTTCCACTTGTCTTAGACGAAAGAGTGAAATTCCGATTGCGGCAAGAATTGTTACAACAATGCCAGTTACTTGCAAGGACTGGGGCGTACGATTTAGAATTTCGCTGTCTTCAAACATGCTAAAATATACATTGGAAGTAAATAAAGGGTGAGGTGTATGCATGTATACACCTTTACTTGTGTTAGTATTTAATTATACTTATCGATCTTTCTTGACGCTTGTTCACAACTTGACAGAAAGTGGTACATTTTATCTCTAAAATTGACTATTTCCTTTTTAATTTATATTTTCTCGATTTCAAGGAATATCGATTGGCTAATTACCTATTCAATGAAATAAAAGTGACCACTTGGCTTAGGGGGAGGAATATTCATTAAATCTTCGTCTTTTGAAAATTTTCTCGTAGACATTTGCTCAATTTTCTAACTTTTTTATATAGACAGCATTTTGAAATGCGGAGTGCGCAATAGAATTACCTCAACGTGGTGCTCCCTGGGCAACGTACACTCATACGACAAAAAGTCTAAAAACCGACAACTGACTTCTGACTCCAAACAACTGTGATCCGATTGTATGTCATATTCGATCACTTTCAAAGTACTCACCTCACCTTTTTCTCTATCTTTGTGTCTGTCTTACATTTGTGAATCGCTCTTCTCTTCCCCCTCTCCACCGTTTGTGAATTTGATGTTTCTCCATTCTGTTCGAAGGTTTGAAGCCCGCTAATAGCCTAATCATGGATATCATTTACTTATTTGCATCAAGTGGCAGGCGTTTTGATAGTTATCATTAGCCGACATTAATCGACATCAGGCTCCACAGAGGGCAAGAAGCATTAGAGTAAAAAAATTGAGATTGATTTAAATAAATAGTTCAAAATGCTTCTGACATCTTGGAGTGAATTAATATCTTCTGTCAGCCTGCCTCTCGACTGTGCACGAATTTTAGCTTGTAGCATTTGCATAGCAGTTAGAAAAAGCCCAACTACGTGAGATGCAAGGAAATACATCAGAAGTAACATAAAGCTCAATAGACTAGCAAAATGTAGGTAAATTTAAAGGAATCTTACGAAGTACTGCTATTTGGTGACAAATTGTTAGGATTGATGTAGAGAGTTTGAAAAGGCGCAAGTAGAGTGGAGCCCAGACCCGAAGCGACTGTGCAAATTCCCACAACGAGGCCTTTTCGCCTTGGAAACCACTAAATGCATATATATATATATATATATATATATATATATATATGTATATTTATGCACAAGACAATATTTGCATTATAGTAAGTTAATAGTAACTCACTAAATTATAAGTAATTTCAGTATTCTTCTATCCAAACACTATATATTGACCCAAACAACAGTCATGATGGTTGAAAATTTGCCTTGTTAAGGCTACGATTCATAACCATTTGAAATGACGTGAATTAAAATGCAAAAAAGCAAAAGTGCTTCAATAAATCTAATGGTACAAATGTGAAAGATGGGATTAATTGTAGTGGCGACGTCAGTTGCCACGATTAAGCGATCAATTAGCAAACCCCAAATTGTGTAGCGGAGCACTTGTTAATTGATTGATTGAGGGAATGAATTTTGGGTACCGTGACAAACACTTTTGAATTGCCCATTAAGTGCATACTAAGCAGTACGATTCCAAGATTCAAGTGAAAATCGTCATTTTCTCCAACTGCAAGCTCCTTCCTGTCTAACTCATTGAACTTAATTACTTATGAAACCCATTTAACGTCACACTCAAACAAATTCTGGCAAAGAGAAAACCTTGAAAGGCTCTACTCCAGAAGACAATTCATAAAACTCGATTTCTGAAATGTGAGGTAATCATTATTGGTCAATTGGGATATGCTCAAATTCCATAAGTAAATCAAGCATAACTCCCATTTAGATCATTTCGAGAAGTGCAACTATGCGTGTCCATTGAAGCAAACCCTCAACCAATAGTAACTATGGGAAAAACAGGACACGACATACTGCGAGCGATGTTTGGAGAATGATCCCAAAAGCCAGGCCCATGGAGATGCCGGTTAGGACCGAGTAGGTGAAGAAAAACAGCACTTTATGCTGTGTTAATGCGAAGGCAGATGCGAAATGGCTCAAACTAAATAAAAAATAATGAAAGTTAAAGTAAGGAATTTATTTAAAAAATGGCGTGATTATGTGCAATTAAGTCAAAATTAAAAAAAGAAGTAACTTCCTGGAGCCAATGTTAACTTCTATTTCTCAACCATAAAAATAAAACTACTAGACTGTCGATGATAATTGCGTTGTTCTCGCTGCACAACTCAACCCAAATGAACATGTTTGAAGAAACTTTTGACAGTTCATTTGATTGGACCCCCAAAATCACACTGTGAATGTTCCTTTCAACTCTTTGTTTGGCACAGACCTTGGGTTGGACTATGTGCAAAGTCTCATTAATGCATGTAATATATTTCGGTGGGCCAACAATGTGTACCCGTTTACTTTGGAAGTTAGCGCCTGAGTCAGTAGATCAAAATTTAGCTATCCTTTTGTACAACGCATTTTATCATTCAATATTACAAACGATTCACATCCCCATTAAGTTTCGACGCACCTTGTTCAATTGAGAACGACATTTTCTAGCCACAAGCATCTTAATCAGGTGATAATGAAACACCGAGTTATACTCCGTTAGCACTGGATATTGCCTGAACCCGTGCAAGCGCTCACTAACACTTTGCCTTCCCAGCGTCGAACGATTCAAAGATACCTCCTTTCTACTTAAAGTCAAATGTTTGAAACACCTCCTTTAATGCGATCAACCCACCTTCCTTATGAAGGTGCACATATAATTTATATTTACCTGTTTAAGAAACTAGCAATGGCAACCAGCTTCAAAATGTCAACTTTTTGTGCTAAGAGACCAGAAATTGGCATACTGGATGCGTAAAACGAGATTGATCCAGCGGAGATCCAAATGCCGAAGGAATAGTTAACGTCGGAATCCAGTCTTTCATGCAGATGGGAGATCACATACGGTGTCATGTTTGCTGTAGTTTAATTGTAATTATTTTTGTTATTGATCAACTTGATGCATAGGCATTAATTAGATTTACAAAATCCGATAATTTACTAATTGTGTGCATTTGGCCTAAAGACGCCAAGATTAGAAATCCCCCAAGTAAAGCGAGACATCCTTGACCTTTACATCCCATTTTCGTGGTAATCATTTCTAGAAATTAAAGTTAAAATTAAGTAAAAGTATTGAATAGTCCGAAACCATTCAGTAGTTTAATTAACTCAATTAATTACAATCAATGACGAAAATAAATTAATACAAGTTGGGCATAATGTATAGGCACTAAAGTTTATTGAACTTATTGTAGCAATGCCTAGAGCATATTATCATTCACTCTGTAATATTCAAAGACTTCAGTTATATAGTTTGACTACTGGGTTAAAAGGTACCAGTTAGAGGGAGAAATAATGGCTTATCTTCACAGCGGAGCTGGTTGGAGAACGTTCAAATCGCGCTATAAGATTATATATGAGTAAATGGGGTTTTCGATAGACTTACCTCCACGTGGTGCACCCTGGGCAACGTATACTCATACGGCAAAAAAGTCTATTAACTGGCAGTTGACTTCAAACTACCAAGACCCCACTGTATGTCATATTCGACTACTTTAACAGTACTCATCCCACCTTTTTTCCACCTTATCTACCTTCGTCTTTGATACACTCTTCTGTTCCCCCCCCCCTCCCCTCTTGAATTTTTTACACTTTGATGCTCCTTCCCCTCTGTGAAGACTGAAGTCAAATAAAGGGCTAATGATAACAATCAAAACGCCTGCCATTTGATATAATAATAAAAATAATATATGAGTAAATCTACCTCCAATTTCTACTATTGTGCCAGACATCATCTCGTTATATACGTATAGACCTTACAAATAGGAGAAATGTATTTGCTTTTTTTACTCAAACTACAAATGAAATGCCCAAATGAATCACACTTACCTATTCCTTTTAGTAAGTAGCTGAAATTTAAAACTACAATCTCATATAGTGTTTGGAAACGAGGAGAGGGCCCAATGAAATTTTTGTGAAATTGAAATTGATCCGATTGTAGTGTGCAATGCTCTTAGGTGGGAACAAAACGTAGGATTAAAAATTAAAACATTTTGGTATTTTTAATAATTTTTTCTATATATATATATATATATATATATATATATTTACTACTTAGCTTTAAAGTGGTAAATCGAATATCCAAACTGAAAAGCGCGTATAACTTGACCCAATGAATCAATTTTGGATGCTCTTTTAGTTCCCTCAAATTTACTGACCCTATA